CGTCGATTCGCCTCGGCCTCATTGGCCGAGGAATTCGGTTCGAACGTCACGCTCAGGCGTGCACACCCTTTCCGTTCCCGACTGGCTCCATCATGGTAGCCGACGCCGTCACCATATCGAATGCAAAAACATGGCTAAATACCCTTGTAAGGGTATTTGGTCCGACAGCGGGATGATTCCATAGAAGGTCTGTGTAAAACAATCTGTTGTCCTCAGATAGGTCCGCCCATTTATATGGGGCAGACCATTTCAGGCGAAAGGCTTGTTTCGTGGAATTGGGGACCACGATTTTCGTCTTTTTTGCACATCCACGGTACTGGGGTGCAGTTGGGCGTACCTCCACTGCATTCTAGCACAGGATTCACTCTGCTTCTTTTACTAGGGTGCAGTTGGGCGTAGTTGGGTGCAGTTTTACGATAGCTCCACAAAAGACACAAAAACGTCATGACGGGATTTTTCGTGTTCTAGCATAGGATTCACTCAACTTCTTTTACTGGGGTGCAGTTGGTCGTAGCTCCACTACTCTCGACAGACACAAAAGACAAAAAATCCACGGTACTGGGGTGCAGTTGGGCGTAACTCCACTACTCTCGACAGGCACAAAAGACAAAAAATTATGGCGGTGTATCTTTTCGTCCCACCCTCTGCTTCTTTTAGTAGCACAGGATTCACTCTCGTTTCAACTCGTCCCAGCATCATGCTTCTTTTACTAGCACAGGATTCACTCTCGTTTCAACTCGTCCTAGCCTCTGCTTTTTTTGGCTTCACTACGTACGGGAATAGGATGCTCATGGCCGGTGTGCTTCAAAATGTCAAGGCCTGGTACATGAGGCCAACGGGATCGAACCCAAGACCTCCTGGATGCCACTTATGTGCCTTACCAACTGAGCTAGGCCGCAGCCTAAAAAAAAAAAAAAAACTGGTGCTCTTGGGTGTACGCAAGGCAACTGAATCTTCAGCTAGAACATAGAAAGATACATCGCCAAGGCCAAAAAAACCTCGGATCAAATGCGCCATCCCTGACTACCCCTCCCCCCTACGAACACAAGCCTAGGCGGGGATCCAGCTGGCCGGGAACAACCTGATAACCTCGGGAAAGGAGGAAGGTTGGAGCGAGTGACACTGGACTAGCCCACGGACACCGACACTCCGACTCTCCTCCTACCTCCCCACTGTCTGCGTATGAGCTTTACCCCCACCCTCGCAATCGAGTCAGAGACTGCCCTGGTTGGAGCCTGCCCGCTGTCATTCCCATTTCAAACAGGGATCTATTGTCGGGAACGCGGTTAGGATCCCCTTCTTGAGACAACATAAAAGCAACACAGATTACAACATGAAACCCCTTGAGACAACATAAAAGCAACATAGGCACAACTTGGTGCGCAGGGTAATAATGTATCATAAGTTCGCTAGTACGGGCCATTTGCAACGACAAGCCCCATTTTCCAGTACCTCAAAGGCCCGCACTAGCGAACTCCCACAGTGACAAGCATGTTGTTGGAGGACAGTAAAGCGCGCGCTGGATAAATGTTGAATGCTTTGCCCATATGTACATGTGTGTGTGTATGTATATGCATATGTGTGTGTGTGTGTGTGTATGTATATATGTGCATATATATATGTGTGTGTGTGTGTGTGTGTGTGTGTGTGTGTGTGTGACCCACCCTCTGTCCCTCTGTGATGGTGGACCATGTCAGGGAAGGCATCTGTATGATGCCTGTCCAAGACAGGTCACCATACAGATACCTCCCCGGGTGCACAGGTCGTCACCGGGGACACACACTMAGGATCTTAAATTCAATAGCTCGTGAAGGGTCCCAACGGGATCTGCCCTGAAGGGATGGAACATGCTCTGGTTCCTAAGCGTCTTTTTAGCCAGGTTCCAGCAAGCACAAGAGGGGAATCCATTGTTGACCATTCTTTCGATGACCTTACGGATCTCAATGGCCGCAGTTTTACACTCTGAACAAATGATCATGACCACAATCAACTGGCCAATAATGATGACGAGGGATTGTTTGATTGGCCGATTGGAGAAAAATTTAATGTATCTGTAAGGGTTAATGTTCATGACCTCGAGTTTGTCATACTTCTCGGTAATGAACATGCCGGTGGCCATGGATGTAATGGAAATCTTGAGATTGAGGAATTTGGCACTTGGGGGGTCAGTCCCAGGTTTTGCGTCGGGTTTTACCTCAATGTATTGGTCAGGGTAGATCCAGGTACGAAACTCGTTGTGATCATTCCAATTGATACCGAGGAACACAGGCATGAGAGGGTTGTTTAGGGAATGCAAGTCGTCAACATACCTGTAAGTATTTTGGCAGCTCGTTCTAATAAACGAGAATGTAGATAAAACACATCTCCTGGGAAAGCTTCTCGACCTGGTGGTCGACGTAACAATAATGACATTTGTCGATATGCCACTGATTGTTTACTTAGATTATCATAGATAATTAGAGTGTGCATTCCATTGTCTCGGAAAGAAAAAACTGGATGTGACAACATGCATCCCGTTGTCAATCAATCTAGTCATGGCTAGGTATTCATACTTGAACAGGTRGAGGTCAYACCAWATAGGGGAGCAGGGGAGACCCATAGGTATACCATTCCTCTGTCTCCAAACCCTGTTCCCTAGCTGGATAAAATTACTGGAGGCCAGCCATTCGTTCAGATGGAGTATAGCCCCCATSGTTAATGTGTTGGGGCACCTCCTGTCAGTCCATATRCATTTTATCTTCCCATTGTTCTTAAGATAGTATTTGATGCGCCAATTACCCCCATTACGGTTCCTGTTGGCAAATCCTTTTTTGATGGCAAATAAAATGGCAGAAATCAGTCCATCTTCGGGGTCAGAAATAGGAATCGTCTCAAAGCATCTGCTGATGTCAGCGGTGAAGGCCGAGAAAACGCGTTCGGGCAGATTAAGACAGTACTCATTCACCGATTGTACAACCCACCAAAAATTCACCAAGACATTATGTTCATTATTAATTTCGTCTGTCTTCTTCCTACAGAACATTTGGATCTCCGTGGCTAACAGTTTTAGGGTTTTAGCACATATGCTGGCCACAGGGGAGAAGATGCAGTCAGATGCGTTGGTGATCCATTTAAATGATCTCTTATGACTCTTATAATTAGCCATTAAATATGGCAGTTTGTCATCACCCAGAGGTAGACCAAGTACATTGCTGGCTTTGATAAATGCAATCAAATCATAGACTGAAGATCCGACCTCTTCGAAATCAGGGCCATTGATCCTGCTGAATGCAAGCTCACGGATCAATTGCTTACAGATTAACACTGGGGTATTGGCGGTCTTGTCCATCGGTGCTATGAAGGAGAGGTTCGTCAAGAACCTGATTTCATGTTGCACATGTGGCAACTGAAGATCAACCCTTGAATGTCCATGATGGCGGGCCATATACTTCCTAAGCAATTGGCTAGCTTTCGTCTTTATACTCCTGGCCAGGTGCTGCCTAGTGCCTAGATCGAGTTTTGCGATATCAGGTACGATCCTAGCGACTCCCAACCATGCATTCTCAATCTGGAGAAGAGCCTGTATCACATCAAGATCCCGAGGGGGAATGTGGTTCAGGCCACTCTCCACCATTTGCCTGACTAGGCCAAGTCTAATGATGGAGTAATCACTGGTGATGATATGCGGTCTCGTGTCAAGGTTGCTGCCCGCGATCTCAAGAAGGTTAGCTGTTGTAGGCTTGATGTAGGACCGATATCTTCTGGCGCTGCAGTGGCACCCCCGGTCGGATGAGCCCCACTCAGAGGAGTCAAACCGAACGAATGTGTCCATGGGCCTGTAAAGAATCCGAGATATAGGATCGTCATACTTCCAGCCGAATATTACGTTGTCCAACCATCCTCCTGCCGAAATGCCTATCACTGAGACGATTGCCGAAATGATCAGTCTCCTGATGTTGACCGCCTCCAGTATCCTGCTGGTGTAGTGGACGTGGATGAATCGCTTAGCAGGTGCTCCGTCTGTTTTCTTACTCCATATCCGTCTCCCAGAGGGACCAATGACCACTTCCCTATTCGATGGTACCTCCTCAACTGGTTCATCCTGAAGGCAAATGTTGTGCAAATGTTATCAAAAGAAAGAAAAAAAGAAAAAAATGGGGAAAAATTTAAAAAGAAAAAAAAAATGGGGGGAAAGAAAAGAAGAAAAAGTGGACAAAACCACGACCAATCAAGCTAGACCAGAGACAGAAAATGTCTAGTGGTAGTCAGCAGGTAGCTACGGTCTCTTTTCATTTAGTGGGTGATTGCGACCTGCCAAGTACCTACTATTTCATTGGTAAAAACAGAATATCCCAAAGTAGGATCGAAGACAATCCAGACCATCAGTCGTGATGCACGTAGCTGTTTCGGGGATGGTTAAATCATTGTCAGTGTCCTAGTCTAGCAAGTGGCCGGTCGATCAAATGCGTGGCAACTATCTTAGAGTCCTATTCTCCCTCCGTCAGCAAGGCGGTGATATCCCCTGCATAATCCCTACCCGTCCCGAAGTTACTGCCAAATCTAAACCAACAGCTCACCCTAGCCACCGATCCGGACAGGACGCTCCTAGCCACATCCACGGCCATGTCAACCATGAGGTCAATCAAGGTATCAATCGTATCGTCGTCCCAGCCATTAGGGAGAAGTCTGTCCTGCCCTCTGAGCCATGCCTCGCAGAAAATGAAGTCCCCCGTCTGGCCCGCACAAACAGAGAATTCCCCTAACGGCCTGTTATTGACTAGAATGTCTAGCTGAGAGCCGGCGACCCTCACAATGTAAGGGCCAGGGCTGGCAATCAGGTCGAGTACCAGAGGGGAAAGCATAGGAGTGGTGTGGGCCGGGTCATATTGACCGGACCAAGGAGGCTTGTCAGCAACTCGGACCTCTATTCCATTCAGGGTGGCTCGAACGCGAAACAGAGATCTCCTGTGCACTGCAGTGCAGATATTGTATGGTGCCATGATGGTAGATTCTCCTTGTAGCTACGTTAAAGGTCACAACCAATCAGCACTGGAAAGCACAGACACAAGCAACAGGTACCATGATTAGTCCCCAATCACCATATCCGTCTGGGTGTTGCCATGGGCCAGGTTGGTGGCTGGTCCTTCAGTTGGTGGGGTGCATTCGACTCGCTCGGCGGTGACAAGTCCGTCCATTGATGATGATGCATTGTTGTTGGCCCTCCTTACAGCCGCAATCTGGCTGGTCTTCTGGAGGGGAAAGAAGGCTTCCGAAAGGAGTCTCTGCGTTGGGGAGAGGGCGGCAGCGGTCTTCTGTCGCTTGTTGGGGGACTTCTTCTTCTTGTTCGATACCTCAGGGGCACGGGGGAGAAAGGTTGCTCTGGATGGGAGTAGTGCACTCCCCATGAGTACGGCAAAGGGCTTCTTGGCGAACGGCAGTTTGCCAAACACAGGGCCTGCCGTGATGAGAGGGTCTTTCTCAACAGCAAGAATGACAGATACCATGATATCTCTCATGACATTGAAGGTCAGGCACAGCTTGATCAGTGGCTTCCACCTACCTCTGAGAAGGTGGAGGAGGCATCCAATCCGTACTGTGTTGGAGCTGCCATCAGGTCTGACCATCTCCGGGTGGGTAAGGAGAAACCAGATGGCATGGTCGACCCATAATGGGCCAACCTCACAAGCCTTGTTTCCCTCCTGACCACAGCCKCATTTGAGGTAGGGGCKCCCARCATTCCATATYTTTCTGAGGATACGGTGCTGGCATGTGATTTCAGACGGCAGCRCCTTCTGCAGCACGGCGGGGSCTGGGAGGGAGCATCTGGTTGGATCAAACAGGTTCATTGGTGGAAGAGGGGCACTATCATCATTGAAGGCAGCTTTCCCTTGTCCTTGGTGATGCAAGGTCCCTCTGAACGCGTCCTCCCTGCATTCTTTGATCTCTGCCTCCAACAGGTCCCCCAAGAACCGATAACCATTGTGATTGATCGGGGCCAGGTGGTTGAAGGAATCCAGAGTCCAGACCCTAGAGTCAGTGGCCTTGGCCATGTGCTCCACCCAGTGATGGGACGAGATGGGGAGAAAGTTCTTCACAGAGCCTCCTCCGCTCGATGTTCTCTTCCTCTTTCGAAGGGGTACGGGGGCGTTGATGAGAGCTTCAAGTTCAAGTTTCTCATCCATATCATCGAAGTTGTCGATGATGTTGGAAGGTGGTGAATTGATGGGCACGGCCGGTGGAGGGGGCTCCCTCCAGATTTCCTGGAAGGTCTTCTGGAGTCCAGCCACCCTGGTTGGATTGTTAGCGATTTCCAGATCCAAGGCTCGTTTCCGACTGCCAGCCTTGCCTACATATGCCTTCAACACCTTGTCAAAGTCTTGCCTTCTCCTTTTGTATGTCCAGGCCAAATCAGCCCATTCGTTGAAGAAAAATGATTCGGTGAGGAGAGGTAGCTGACGTGCCTCATGCTTCTCCTTAAGTATTCGTAACATTCCTTGGTTAGCCACGTTAATGATCGATTGCGTTGGCTTCGAGGGAGGGGGTAGATCAGCGAGGAATGAGTTATGCTAAATGGTCTCTTCCCACCATCCCCCGGCCTGAGCTCCGACTTCCTCCCCTATGTTCTAAGGGTGTATAGATGGAGAGAATAGTGGGGTGTGCAAATGAGCAATATTCATGCAAATAATATCCAAAGCAACACAGAGGAACAACAAGGGGGTAAGCAAGGTAAGGGCGTAAAAACCACGATCTCCAGAGTATGATCACAGGTCACACCAACTTTAGCATTCCTAAACTAGTTACAAGGGCACATAGGCTTTTGAGTACCGAAGAAGTAAGCATTGCCATGATGCTAATATTACCATATTCACCTCAGCATGAAACAGTCGTAGCCCGAGGATTCGACCCCGAAGCGGTTGACCCAGGGGCGGACGCCCCTTTGTGTGTGTTCCATTACAATACCCACGACGCGTTGCATCATGAACCCCACAACAAGCTGCGGTACGACAGTTCAGGCCACAGGTTCTCAAGGTTGCATCCGGTCTCACATGCACTCTTCAAAAAAGAAACCCTTAACTCGTTTGTCTGCCAAAGAAGCCCTTACTTGCAATATGACATTCTCACATCATTGATCTCAATTCAGTAGCATGCCACTAAGTCAAATTGGGGGTAAGAATCCTTGCTCGATAATGACGACTAGTAGTGCATAGAATATGGCAATGAGAATGACGTTGACTACCCAGCTGTAGTGCCAATGAGGTGTGTGGAGGCGGAAGGACGCTCAGAGGGCTAAATCGTTTCTCAGTGTGTTGATCTCATCGCTGAGAGCCAGGTTAGCCCTCATAAGATTACTCAGGGCCGTCTCCTCATGCTCCCTACCTCTGGTAATGATACTATTAACGCAATCAAGTAGTGCCCGGTGTTCATTGTAGATTCAGRAGAACCYGTTGGCCSTCCARYRMCTGATCTCCWGTGGTTCGTCATCAGTAGGAGCTTCTATATGGTAGTCCGGATCTATAGATGGTGGATGTCCTCTTCTGATGAGAACATCAATAAGGAGGGTGATGTGTCTCTCTATTTCCACTATCCTATCGTGAAGTGGCTCAAGTTCGTGTGAAGGAAATTCCATGGTGATAGGTGTGATTGGAGTCCAATGGGGGGAAGCGATCCAGATTCCCTTAAACATAGAGAGGGGATGGTTACGAGATTACAGTGACCCTGATACCTCTGTTGATCATGGTGGGCTGTGAAAGATGCATCAGCATGCGTCTAGATAGGGACTCTATCGATCTGCTACCGAGCCAAAATTCAGGTAGTGAGACGAAACCTAGCGACTACAATGCCAGTAGTTCCCAACGGCCCAAATAGACCATAGGGGATTGAACTCCCTGTAGATCTCGGGGACTCAATACAGAGTCATTCATGACTGAATTCCTCGACAGACTCTAGGTTTGGATTTGTGTGGATATCAAGTCGTTTACTAATTCGAGTGATCACTGTGTCGATCCGATTTCAAATGGCGACAGGTGATTCGACAATTATGACAGATCCAGGATTCGGACTGCCAATACAATTACGTCAATTRYGTCAATATTCAAGGYGGACTCATCCATCGGTAGGGGGAACCTTAATCGTTCAAAATGACGAAACTACTACAGTAGGTGAAGTAATCCCATGAATTAACCTGGTCATTCATCTCGAATGGTCCTTTAACTGGGGTTGTTGGTTTCGAGAGTGTCATCTCGGATTTGATGTCGGTGGTTAATTTATTTCCCACTAAGAGTCGCGACGAATCTTTGAGTCAGCGGATTACAGGTAATTGGTTTGTTTGTTTTTTGGATTTTTTGCCCCCTTATCACCATTTTATTTGCGGGCTGCATTGTGTTTGTAAACAGTAAAAACTTAAAAAAGGTACATATGCTTGTATCATCACTCCTACCTGACGCAACGGTTATAAGCAGCTTTCTTCAGGGATGTGGAAGACACAAAAGGCAGAAGTAATGACATCATTTTTTTCTAGCGTCCTTTGGTAGAAATACTAGAAAGTACTAGAAACACAGATCATTGATACGCCCTTCAGGACATGTCCCAGTAGAATTGGAAAGATACAGAGAGAGTAGATGAGCATGACCCCTGCTCAAGGGATGACCGGCACACATAAATTGAGAAATCGTAAAAAAAAAAAAAAAAAAGGTTGACGCCCTTCAGGCCGCAGTTCCGGCTGGAAAGTCAGTGGATCTCATAAATCCAGCAATAATTACCATCCAGTATTCAAATTCATAAACTTAACCTAAGACTCCTGACTAGCTTCTTCACCCGAATATTTAAAGTTGTATTTGGGCTATCTTTCAGTCTATAGACAGCAATAGTATTTAAAGTTGTATTAGGGGTATCCTTAAGTCTAAATACAGCAATAATGATCATCCGTTGTATTCAGCTGAAGAAGGTAGTGGGTTCTCCATACCTGCCAACAGATGGTGGATGAAAAAAAAAACAAAAAAAAAACAAGAGTCTAAAGAACCCAAAGACATCGGGGGCTTGTTAGACACTCCTTGTGGCGTCCTCGGGGTCGAAGGAAGTTTCCTTCGGGGTTTTGAAGGAAATTTCCGTCGTTAGTCCACCTATCCTCGGGGTGGTCTCCCGAGGAAGATTCCTTTTGGTCCCCCGTGGCCATTTTCATAATATTATAGTTGGCCCCGGGGGGTGGGGGGGGGGGGGGGGGGGGGGGGGGGAGGAGGGCAATGCCTTGGTCCATTGGGTGATGTCCGTCTCACGACGGTGTGGTCCACCTGCATAATGCGGGAAAATTTGAAAGGCGCTGGCGGCGGGACACAAAAAAAAACTTAAAAAGCAATGAACATCCCAGTTCGAAAGGGGCATTAGCGGCGGCGTAGTGGAGTCGTTGTAAGTCGTCATTTGAGCGCCCCGTGAAGGTCCATTGCCATCACTGCCTCCTGTTGCCACGTATATGTGGAGTCGAGCACATGCGGGGAATGTCGTCGACGACTTGGCGCTGAGGTTACTGTGGTCATGGCGAGTTCGTCCACTGTTGTATTTTCGTAGGTGACTAGCATTGCAACACGTGTGCCAATGGAGGGGGCAGCGACAATGGACGTGCGAAGTTTACAACGATCATGAAGACGGCTGTGGCGCTGAAGTGAGCGGCGTGCTGTTTCGTTGTCAGCAAGAGAGGGCATTGGGCAGAATGAGAGCACAGGTCCGCACGCCGAGGAGGAAGACACTTCATCAAGTCCCGGTCGAAGGGCTGGAGACCGTGGCCATCATCAAGGCTGTAGTTCAGGTTTGCTGCGCCATGGGTTGCGGTGGGGAGTGTTCTTCCATGAGTGATGCCGAGGTGGTGGATGAAAAGGAGGATGAGGGGGCGTGGGAGGATCCCCGGCAATGCGACGACACGACGGAGGCAATGCAATGACGTAGCGGAGGAGCCGAGGATGCACACGTGGAAAAGGAGGACCAGGGCAAGCAAAATCGCGACCAGGAGCAGCAGTGGCAGCCTTCGATAAAGGTCGGCCATCAACAACACGTATGACAGGGCTGTAACTCCACGACGACGGTGGAGGGAGCAAACGGTAGAGGACAGCATACAACACACCTCGCTGACATGAGTGGGGATGCGGGAAGGGGGATCGGGAAAAGTATTCAATTTTCCTGCATGTTGAACCTCTACGAAGCTGGCGGGACGCACCACGGCGACAGCCCCAATTGCAGACGAACCCCAACGACGGCCGTCCTCTAACAGTAGCCGTTGGCGACCTGTTGCCTGAAATCCCAACGTTGAGGCCTGAAGACGTCTGTGCAGCGTGGCGGAACACCAATGGACCAACCGAAAAAAGAAAGTTGCCAACGACGCGTGCCTTTGCCGCTCCGATTATCGTGGATCCTTGAGCTCCGAGGGACCTCGCGAGGTCCATTGCACTAGGTTCATGAAATGGCTAGGCCACAAGGACGCTACAAGGATTCCCCGAGGAAATGTTTTCACATCTTTTCTCCAATTTCTTCCCCGAGGATAGGTGGAACGATCATGTCCTTGTAGATTTTATGTGCCCGAGGAGTGTCTAACGAGCTCCATTGAGAAAATGTTTTGTGGGATATTCAATTGCAGTGTGTTTCTTTTTTAACAAAAACGCCCAAGGCAAGAACACACCAATGTCCCGAAAAATTGTAGAAATTTCAAGGGTTTTTGGCCTCCAACCTTCCTTCCACCCCAGGAGGAAGATCACACTCCGCTGGTATGTAGAGTAGTGTGAATTAGTGTGATGGGTGTGGGACGAGTGGGCGACCTGCATGCCGCATCGTTAAATCTGCCAGGAAAAAAAAAAAACACCATGTGCTGCGGCTGTATTGTCAACACTATTTTGTTCTGTCCACCGCGCAGTGCGGGCGGGCGGGTTGTCAGTTGTCAGTGTGAGGATCCTCGGGTGCGTCGTGCCCGAGATGTCTTCCATTTATCAGCAGTAGGTCACCTCGTCATGTGACGGAATCTTGGCATGTAGTATCGGAAGATACACTACTGAGATGCTTTAGTCGTTTGTGCAGTGTGGGAGCAATGACCAAGGGCCATGTCCTTGAGCTCTGTGGCAAATGGGTTAAAGGTGTCGAAAGGGGTCTCGGGGTCTACTATGAACATCGACAGGCCACAAAACCCACAAACATGGGGTTTGCGGTAAACATTTTGAAGGGGGTTAGGGGTGACGAATTTGTTAGCGACCACTTCGTGTGTTATGCTGGCCAGTGAAGGCGGGCGACAACAGTCGTCTGCCCCCTGGTAGTTAGTGTCCTAACGAAACCCTGTGTGGAAGGTGTCTCCAATGGCCGTAGATCTCTATCACCTCATCTCATCCATGGTCCTTGTCGATTCCCTCCCGGTACCGCCTGACGCATGGATTCGCCTGTCTTCGTCATGTGTTCGTCATAAATACGTCGTTATGTGCCTTCCATTCCGTAGATTTTCTTGTAACAGATGTTAATGCATGCGTTGCATTCGTGGTTTGCGGTCCGGCTTAGCGTTTGGCTCCTTGACGACTCATGTCGTATCGTCGGAGGTATGCGTGTTTCTTTTCCGTTTCGGAGCTGGCGGTAGCGGCTGGCGGGTTGGGCGGGGTTCGCTAGTGACAGCATGTGTGTGTGCGTGTTCGAGAGGGAGAGAGGATGGGGGGAAAGAGAGAGAGGTGGAGAGAGAGAGCGAGAGAGAGAGAGAGAGCGAGAGAGAGAGAGAGAGAGAGAGAGAGAGAGAGAGAGAGAGAGAGAGAGAGAGAGAGAGAGAGAGAGA